AATTGAGGGGAGCGAAGAAGGGGGACAAAGACAAGGAAAGATGGAGGAGGAGAAGGAGAAGGAAGGGCTACCTTAGCTGAAGGAGAGCGGGCATGATTGCGCATGGCTTGCGAGGCTTCTGAACAGCAGGATGAGTCAGGAGAGGGTCCCCGTCGATGGCCTTGATGGATGGCAGGACCTAGGGGAGGGACACGCGTCAGAGGAGAGGAGAGCAAACGACACCGCCACCACTATCCCTACCACCACCATGCCCTCCTCCTCCTCCTCCTCCTCCTGCTCCCGCTCCCCCATCACTACCACCATGACTTTCTCCTCCTCCTCCTCCATCACCAACTCCTCCTCCTTCTCCTCGTCCTCCTTCCCCTTCTACTCAAGCTCATGTCCTCCTCCTCCTCCTCCTTCTCCTCCTCCTCGTCTACCTCCTCCATGCCCCCATGTAGCTGCAGTTGTTGAGACGGTTGGACGCGTTCTGGATGGCGCAGAGCATGATCATGTACGCAAAGTACAGGTTGCCGACAGCCTCTGGGACCTGCCGAGCATGTTGAGCTTGACCCCTCAAAGGGCTCCTCCTCCCTTACCTGAGCGATCCTCCGCTGATACTCCGCCATCTCTTGCTCCTCCGTCAGCCCCTCGGACTCCTTCATCGACAGGAGCACGTGGGATGAAACCTGAAGTCGCAGAGCGTTCAGTGTCGTCAGCGCAGAGACGGTGTTGTCATCACAGATGTATGCAACCCAGACACAGCCCTGTTGAAGTCTCTCTTCCACGCGTTCTCAGGATCGTCGACCTCAACCTGTTCAACGAGACTCAACAAAGTCACAAGACACGAACAAGCATGTCGTCCTGGTATCATGTCTGTTCAACACACACAAGCATGCCATCAAGGTTCTCATAATCTCAGTCACACTCTGAGCTGTGCAACCAAACGTGACAACAAACATACAAGTACCCAAGATCTCTGTCAGCGAGCAAGACAACAACTTCTCACACCTGGAAGCATATTCTATCGTGGATAAAGTCCCAAACTCTCTTCCCATCATATCCCGTGTATCTTTCTCCTTCTTCATAAATGTCGTAGTACTCCGTAAAGTCCCCAGGCATATCCCAGCGCACCCACCCATCCAACCGGAAGCTATGCTCCCTAGCGTCCCTCACCCTCAGGTCCTCCCTGACGTCCTCCGCGCTCTCGATCTCGCATCGATCCATCTCGCAGGGCATGTCGGCAGTCGGCATGTACGTGCAGCTCGACAGCAAGTCGACGGCGAACAGCCGGAAGTACTCCTGCTTGCGGAGGTGGTGGAAGTGATCGACCAGGCGATGGTTGTGCTCTCTGACTTGAGCTACCCCGTCCTATAGCACTCGACCTTGGTCACCGAGTACTTGGAGAAGTCGTATCCTGCTCGCAGTGAGCTCGCAAGTCTGATGGAGGTCCTGGGAGCCTTGGCTGAGGACACGAGAGGTTTGCGTAGCAGAGAGCTGGGCTGGAGCAGGGGCTGGAACGAATGAGACGGCGCAACGAGCACAAGCAAGAGAAGAGGAAGAAGAGCTTGTTTCATCCCGTGCCCAAGGAGGGATAGGAAAGTCATTTCAACCAGGATCCAGCAAAACTGATCCACACCTGTACAAACCACATGTCAGCACAAACTTTCCATAACGATCAAACGATATCCATGCTTCAAGCTGCGCGGCCCACCAAGACTAGCCTGCTACCTTCTGCCTCCCTCATCATGGATTCACCATCAACATTCTGACGCATTGCCTGCCTGGGATCTCATTGACTCTGGATACCTCGAATCCCCTTTACCTCTTGACCCATTCACGCCGTGAACATGCTCGAGAACAGTTTTGGAGGCATCTTTGACCACTTCTATTTGACTACTTCTATCATACATCGCTATGCATCGCGTCTGCTACGCATCGCACCCTTGGATATTCTCGTGGCCTTGCAACCCACATTGTTCTCATCCAGATATCAGTCCTCTACTTCCATTTCCTCTCTTCCGACATCTCCCTGTCTTGTTGACCTTTACCCCCCTGTCTTGTTGTCCTTTGCCTTCTTTATCGTATCAGATCCCTCTTGCGCGCACACACGTTCATGTTCTCTCCTCGCCCTCGCTATCAACTTCGGTAGCACCCACTTAAAAACCACCTTTGTCAACTTGAATCGCTGCCCCTCCCTCTCTTCTCCCACTCATTCTTCTTCTTCCTCTCTCCTCCTCGTGTCCT